AAAGAAATCTAATTCTGAAACCTAATTTTAGGTTTTGTTAAAATCAAGAATGTGAAAGGAAAAGTTCTTGATCAGTATGTAATAGATCTTTCATCAAAATAGTTTGAAACGTAGTCTGTATGTAGGTATGTGTTTGTGTATATCTATATACCTCTATCTTTAGCTATATGAAAAAAACAAGAAACCAATATTTCAATAGTAAGTTTAAAAATATCTCAGTCTAGAATTGAAATCACTTATAAATTACTGAGATGGATGAATATTGAAATCAGTTCAAATATTATTTAAATCAAAAGATAATAAATATAGAAAAGTCTTAATTCTATATTTGGGACCATATTTTGATAAAAGGAAGTTCTGTTTAGTAATGGAAAACATAAGAGAAAGAGAACAGTAGCCCCAGACATGAGAGGGCTGGCCAGGTACTCAAACCATGGTTATCTCACATCGAAGATGAACTGTTTCACAGAATATCAACATCAGACAAGGCTACTTCATTACCATTACCAGTCATGATAACATTACCATCGCATAATCATGTGAGAATACAAACAAGAACATAAACATTGTCCAAACCACAAAATACCAAACTCTTCCTTAACCTGGTAAATATGAAGTACCACTGCATCTTTATTAATGACACACCTTCAGTCTCACTCTAGGCTTCCCTTCCTCTAGAAAAAAATTATGAAAATTCCCATTCATAGAGTTACTCCTGCTTACTGACAATATGCAATCCAAAGCAAAGCCCTTAAACCTTCCCTCAAATCATCTAACACAAACTCAAATCCTCCAACAGGTTCTGTCTAATATGCTCTTACTCACAAAACTCCGTGTTGTGTACACAGGTTCCCAGTGGCATATATTCACCCTTGTTACCAAAAATAATAAATCCAACTTGTTGAACTACAGGAGTGTCACCATTGGTCTTCGGTTAGAGAGTACATTCTTTAACTTCCAATGTGCACATGTATCTTAGAAACACACACACACACACACACACACACAATGGACCTTGCTTTTGGGTTACTCCAAAGGCTAATCCTGATATGAGCTTTTTTAATACTGACATAGGATATTTACACTCTACTTCCAATGTATACACATATGATAGAAATACACACGCACACACGCACACACACATACACACACAATAGATCTTTTGTTTGAGTTACTCCAAAGGCCAACCCTGAGATGAGCTTTCAAGCCTAAGCAGTTTACATGTGATGTGAAGAAAATACTGGTAGGGGTATGGAGGAATGTAGGCAGGAAAGGAAACAGAAATTATAAAGGTATAATTATTAGAACTAGCGATTACTGTTGGTGACTAGAGTTTAATCCTGCTAGGAAGCTCTGGGAAACACATGCCTCAGGACGATCTCACTCAGGGGTGAGGACACTGGGCTATTTATACGCCATCTCCCATCACCGATTGGAAGCTGATGGGAGAACATTAATTTCTTGTAACTTGAAGCCAGACACACAAGTGGGAAAAGTGGAACTCAATAACCACAGAAAATCCTCACATAAAGAAATGCAGGTCCTGGCAGCAGTTAGGCCTACATGCAATGTAATAGAGAGAGCAAGAGTATATGGGTAGGAAATGGATATGGTCAACTATAAAATGCCTCTATATACTTCAACACAATAACCCAATGCCTTTGGATTTTGCCCCATAATCCTATAAAAGTATATGATATGAGGGCAAATGGAAATCGTTTTGAGTATTAAGATTGCCTGACACTTTTTAATTTAATGGATTGAAAATTTTAATTCAAAATTCTAAGTAAATATATTTTTTAATTTTAAACATTAAGTTTATTGGGGTAACATTGGAGTAAATATTTTTTTTTAGCATCACTGGACTTAGAATGTTTCTATACAAACCATATTTTACTTATAACAATTTTAGCATTACAAACAACTTTGACAACCATTAATCCCTTAGTATGTGCTACCTCATCAGTAAGATGTGTTTAGTTATTTTCACATTAAACAGAAAACTGAGGTTTAGAAAGTTTAAGTAAATCATGCTGAGAGTTATAGCTTTCCTTTCTCATAGTTTCTATTAAGCCCATCTCAAATCTTCCATGAGAGGAAGAAAGCGCATGTTGTAGTGGACTCAATAAACGAAATTACATTTTATACAAGTTACAAACAACCTATGCAACTATCAAAAAATGCACGGCCGAGAAACATGTTATTTCCATGTTTTTTAGGCTTTCATAATTTTTTAAGAAACCATGCTTAGAAGTTCAGAGATGAAAAGAGAAGATCATGAGGAATTCCTTGACCATAAGGAAAAGTAGAAAAGGACATGACTGGTATAAGTTAGACAAGAAATGGTGGCCTTTGCTCCCTTTTTATTCATGAATCTAACCAGTGTATGCTCAGACACCTTTCATTGCCAGTATGTCAAATCTGTGGTTCTCAAAGTATGGTTCCTTGGAACCATTTCGGATCTTGTTCCTTGGCATGACCTGGAAACTTTTTAGAAATGAAAGATCTCAGGCCCCACCCCAGACTCACTGAATAGAGACTCCTGAGATGAGGCCTAGGAATCTATGTTTTAACAAGTCTTCCAGGTGATTCCAGTGCTCACTCAATTGTGAGAACCACTCATTGCTCTAGTCTGTCACCCATACAACAAGAATGAGAACTACATTTGTTTTTAGTTCTAGTAAGCACTAGGACTAGAGTTACAATAATGTAAGAAAAAAAAAACAGTTAAAACTGAAATTACAGAGTTTTTTTTTTAAGAGTTTAATATAAAGTTTCAGCATATAGTCCTTGCAGACCTCCAAAAGAATTTTGAAGTA